TTGGCATTGCACATGGTGATCTTAGGCTTGTGTGCGGCTGCTCGGCCATGGAAACCCATTTCATGAAGCTCCCGGTGAACAGTTCTTGTGCTGACGTTGCTTCCAGAGGTAGTTTGGAACTCAGTAGTGAGTGTTGCAACCGAGGACAGACCATTTTTCACACGCTATGTGCTTCAGCACTTGGCGGTCCCGTTCTGTGAGCTTCTGTGGCCTACCACTTTGCGGCTGAGCCGTTGTTGCTCCTAGACGTTTCCACTTCACAATAACAGCACTTACAGTTGACCGGGGCAGCTCTAGCAGGGCAGAAATTTGTCGAACTGACTTGTTGGAAAGGTGGCAATTTTATTTACCTGTCAGCAACGGGTGAGGCTGAAATAGCCGAATCCACTAATTTGAAGGGGTGTCCACATACTTTTGTATATATAGTGTATATTTTCCTAATTCCAACCCCACCATCCATTAAGTGGAGTCTAAAATGCTACAATTATAAGTCGTTGGTTTTAAAAGCCGGTATGTAGAGTAGTAGGGTAGGCAGCTTGTCAACATAAGTCCTTGATGAAGATCTGCAGCAAAATATGTCTGTTCTTGCTTCTAGATACTTTACGTAATATAGTGTGGCTTGTAAAGAGGGATTTAAGAAGCATGGATATAGGTCTACTGTAGATGCTATGCATTCCTCTGGATTTACACTCATAATGGACATCAGCTTGTGTCCCAGATCTCAACTCTGGCAATGCACACACTGCAACTGGCTTTAAAATCACGTTCAATTATATTTTCAAATTCTCAACGTTCCATTTCAATTTAGTTAAATGTTTTGTTGTTCTGCAGGGAGTTGATTTTAGATGACATACTTTTACAGTGATAGTTTTAATTATGGCGTGTGCGCGTACGTGTCCCAGTCAGTGTGTAGTAATAGTGATAGTTTTAATTATGGCGTGTGCGCGTACGTGTCCCAGTCAGTGTGTAGTAATAGTGATAGTTTTAATTATGGCGTGTGCGCGTACGTGTCCCAGTCAGTGTGTAGTAATAGTGATAGTTTTAATTATGGCGTGTGCGCGTACGTGTCCCAGTCAGTGTGTAGTAATAGTGATAGTTTTAATTATGGCGTGTGCGCGTACGTGTCCCAGTCAGTGTGTAGTAATAGTGATAGTTTTAATTATGGCGTGTGCGCGTACGTGTCCCAGTCAGTGTGTAGTAATAGTGATAGTTTTAATTATGGCGTGTGCGCGTACGTGTCCCAGTCAGTGTGTAGTAATAGTGATAGTTTTAATTATGGCGTGTGCGCGTACGTGTCCCAGTCAGTGTGTAGTAATAGTGATAGTTTTAATTATGGCGTGTGCGCGTACGTGTCCCAGTCAGTGTGTAGTAATAGTGATAGTTTTAATTATGGCGTGTGCGCGTACGTGTCCCAGTCAGTGTGTAGTAATAGTGATAGTTTTAATTATGGCGTGTGCGCGTACGTGTCCCAGTCAGTGTGTAGTAATAGTGATAGTTTTAATTATGGCGTGTGCGCGTACGTGTCCCAGTCAGTGTGTAGTAATAGTGATAGTTTTAATTATGGCGTGTGCGCGTACGTGTCCCAGTCAGTGTGTAGTAATAGTGATAGTTTTAATTATGGCGTGTGCGCGTACGTGTCCCAGTCAGTGTGTAGTAATAGTGATAGTTTTAATTATGGCGTGTGCGCGTACGTGTCCCAGTCAGTGTGTAGTAATAGTGATAGTTTTAATTATGGCGTGTGCGCGTACGTGTCCCAGTCAGTGTGTAGTAATAGTGATAGTTTTAATTATGGCGTGTGCGCGTACGTGTCCCAGTCAGTGTGTAGTAATAGTGATAGTTTTAATTATGGCGTGTGCGCGTACGTGTCCCAGTCAGTGTGTAGTAACAGTGATAGTTTTAATTATGGCGTGTGCGCGTACGTGTCCCAGTCAGTGTGTAGTAATAGTGATAGTTTTAATTATGGCGTGTGCGCGTACGTGTCCCAGTCAGTGTGTAGTAACAGTGATAGTTTTAATTATGGCGTGTGCGCGTACGTGTCCCAGTCAGTGTGTAGTAATAGTGATAGTTTTAATTATGGCGTGTGCGCGTACGTGTCCCAGTCAGTGTGTAGTAATAGTGATAGTTTTAATTATGGCGTGTGCGCGTACGTGTCCCAGTCAGTGTGTAGTAATAGTGATAGTTTTAATTATGGCGTGTGCGCGTACGTGTCCCAGTCAGTGTGTAGTAATAGTGATAGTTTTAATTATGGCGTGTGCGCGTACGTGTCCCAGTCAGTGTGTAGTAATAGTGATAGTTTTAATTATGGCGTGTGCGCGTACGTGTCCCAGTCAGTGTGTAGTAATAGTGATAGTTTTAATTATGGCGTGTGCGCGTACGTGTCCCAGTCAGTGTGTAGTAATAGTGATAGTTTTAATTATGGCGTGTGCGCGTACGTGTCCCAGTCAGTGTGTAGTAATAGTGATAGTTTTAATTATGGCGTGTGCGCGTACGTGTCCCAGTCAGTGTGTAGTAATAGTGATAGTTTTAATTATGGCGTGTGCGCGTACGTGTCCCAGTCAGTGTGTAGTAATAGTGATAGTTTTAATTATGGCGTGTGCGCGTACGTGTCCCAGTCAGTGTGTAGTAATAGTGATAGTTTTAATTATGGCGTGTGCGCGTACGTGTCCCAGTCAGTGTGTAGTAATAGTGATAGTTTTAATTATGGCGTGTGCGCGTACGTGTCCCAGTCAGTGTGTAGTAATAGTGATAGTTTTAATTATGGCGTGTGCGCGTACGTGTCCCAGTCAGTGTGTAGTAATAGTGATAGTTTTAATTATGGCGTGTGCGCGTACGTGTCCCAGTCAGTGTGTAGTAATAGTGATAGTTTTAATTATGGCGTGTGCGCGTACGTGTCCCAGTCAGTGTGTAGTAATAGTGATAGTTTTAATTATGGCGTGTGCGCGTACGTGTCCCAGTCAGTGTGTAGTAATAGTGATAGTTTTAATTATGGCGTGTGCGCGTACGTGTCCCAGTCAGTGTGTAGTAATAGTGATAGTTTTAATTATGGCGTGTGCGCGTACGTGTCCCAGTCAGTGTGTAGTAATAGTGATAGTTTTAATTATGGCGTGTGCGCGTACGTGTCCCAGTCAGTGTGTAGTAATAGTGATAGTTTTAATTATGGCGTGTGCGCGTACGTGTCCCAGTCAGTGTGTAGTAATAGTGATAGTTTTAATTATGGCGTGTGCGCGTACGTGTCCCAGTCAGTGTGTAGTAATAGTGATAGTTTTAATTATGGCGTGTGCGCGTACGTGTCCCAGTCAGTGTGTAGTAATAGTGATAGTTTTAATTATGGCGTGTGCGCGTACGTGTCCCAGTCAGTGTGTAGTAATAGTGTCAACATCACCTGTCATTAAAGCTAAAGCGTGATGTCTCATGCATTTATTATGGCGTTTAAACTCTCTAATGGACAATGGAGTCACTATTGACCCGGTCACATTGATCAGGCCAACAACTCCACTGGCGCTCTACACTGGTTGGACTCTATGAACTGGTCTGTCTCACTCCCCGGCTGCTTCCCAACTCACTCCCTATTCCCTATAAAGTAGGGCACTGGTCAAAAGTATGGCACCGTATAGAGAATAGGGTGCCCTTTGGGACGCAGCCCCCAGTCCCCCTGCTATGACCCCAATTGTCTGTGGCAAGAGTCACGACGGTCAATATATTCTCCAATCGATATGGTAATCAATACCGTTCACTTCTTCCTCATGGAGGTACAGCATATAAAAGTGATGGATAGCTTTTTTAAAGGGGCAGTCTGGGATTTTCAAGGGGTAAAACGTTTATATTCATCAAGAAATAATGGCTATTTACAAAACATTAGGAACACCTGCTCTTTCCATGACATGGACTGACCAGGTGAATCCAGGTGAAAGCTATGATCCCTTATTGATGTCACTTGTTAAATCTACTTCAATCAGTGTAGAGGAAGGGGAGGTGACAGGTTAAAGAAGGATTTTTAAGCCATGAGACAATTGAGACATGCGTGGATTCCTAATGTTGTGTACACTGTGCATCAAATGGATATACTAATCCCAGTAGTCTGTGCTTTAAGCCAACTCCTCTCTCGTTCATTGCCAAGCCAAACATGTAGGCTATGGCATCAAAACAATAGAAGAGTTGCCTACTGTCCTTCTAGTATGGGACCCAGGCTAGTTGTCCTTCTAGTTTGGGACCCAGGCTAGCTGTCCTTCTAGTTTGGGACCCAGGCTAGTTGTCCTTCTAGTATGGGACCCAGGCTAGCTGTCCTTCTAGTTTGGGACCCAGGCTAGCTGTCCTTCTAGTTTGGGACCCAGGCTAGTTGTCCTTCTAGTATGGGACCCAGGCTAGCTGTCCTTCTAGTTTGGGACCCAGGCTAGTTGTCCTTCTAGTATGGGACCCAGGCTAGCTGTCCTTCTAGTTTGGGACCCAGGCTAGTTGTCCTTCTAGTATGGGACCCAGGCTAGCTGTCCTTCTAGTATGGGACCCAGGCTAGCTGTCCTTCTAGTTTGGGACCCAGGCTAGTTGTCCTTCTAGTATGGGACCCAGGCTAGCTGTCCTTCTAGTATGGGACCCAGGCTAGTTGTCCTTCTAGTATGGGACCCAGGCTAGCTGTCCTTCTAGTTTGGGACCCAGGCTAGTTGTCCTTCTAGTATGGGACCCAGGCTAGTTGTCCTTCTAGTTTGGGACCCAGGCTAGTTGTTCTCGGCAGAAATATATATTTTAAAAAAAACGTCTTGTTGCGGCGGCAACAATTTAGCAGTGGTGGGCGACCGCTGCCAAATGAATATAGGGGAAACACTGGACCATGACTGCGTCCCAAATGGCACCCTTTTCCCTACATACAGTATAGTGAATAGAGTATCATTTGGGATGCAGCCCCATGTCTGCCTGTCTAGTAATGACCCTCTCCCTCTCTCTGTCCTCTCTCTCAGGCCAAAACCCTGCGGAAGCTGATCCAGCAGACATTCAAACAGTTTGCCAACATGAATGATGACCAGAGCATCCTCATGTTCCTGGAGATTCTGGCACCCGTCTACAGATTCGATAAGGAGTGTTTTAAATGTGCTCTCGGGGTAGGCTGAATTTCACTTTATTTTATTTGTTCTTGGTTTCAAATAAAACATATATATCGATAAGATGCACTTTTGAAATCCCAGAGGATAAAATTAAAGGGATCTTTAAATACTAATGTCTTTAAGTATTTTGTTCATTAGTCCACTCTTAATACAATCTCAAAGAATTGTGCATGTCAACAGTCAAGTTTTCAAGACAGAGCACTTTCAGTAAAGAGCAAAAAACTGGGATGATGATGCATTTAGCATCATATGATTATTTCCAAGGTTACAGTTGTTTTCTCAACAATTCAATTCTGTTGTTCTCAGACAGTGGAGTAAATAAAGCCTGGGATATCATGGTTGTAATTTGGGTGATTTCGTCCGTCTCGCTGCAGCCTTAATGAAATGACAGTTGCATAGTGACCCCTGCTGGCCATAATGAACACAACAATGACATCATTGATGTAGCAGACAGGTGTTTTCATTGTTATGAGTTGGCACTTTGAAGCCGACAGACTGAACTCTCTGCTTAACTCTCATTGTGTGTGTCTCTCTTTTCCTCTTGTTGATTTGTGACTGAACTGAAGACAATAATCTCAATGGTTCTTTCTCTCTTTCTTACTGATAGTTGAGCTGGGTCATCCAAGTAGAGCTAGCCATTGGACCTGAGGAGGGCATTAGCTACCTCACAGACAAGGGCTCGACTGTAAGTAGGAAATGTTCATATTCATATTTATCGTGTTGTGCATCCTTGTCTTGCATTTCCACACAAACAAGCACAGGCCTTACAGTTATATGACCTATATAGTTTTCAACCAAGGACATCAAACTTTCTCAAAGATATTTAGGACCATTACATAGTGTGGTCTTCCTCAAAGAAGAACATCTGGAACCAAACACTACTTGTAACCTATGGACTAGTCGCTCTCTTTCCCCTCACTATACAATATCTATTTACCCTGAAAGTATTGGTTTTCAAAGAGCATTCCTAGTCATTATGTCATGACGTCTTCAGGGGCTGAGGTAATGAGAACGAGAGAGAGACTGTTTGTTAAGTAAGAGAAATCCTCCCAAAATCGCCCCTGGGGGTTTTTACCCACCAAACTGAGAGTATCAGATTTTCTTCTTGTTAATTGACCGTGAGCCAAGGTTTTAAGAAAGGTTATTTCTGGAATCCAAGAGACCCCTCTTGTTCTGTAAGCAAACGATACGCCAAAAACATCCCTGTCAAGAACAAAAATGTAGCAGCTTGAAATGGAACGTTTCCAATGAAAGAATAGATAGATAACACAAAATGCAGCTTCCCAATAAATATTGTGACCATTTAAAAAGTTAGTTCAACTTTACTTTTGGTATCATAATTTGAAATTTTCCTCTCACAAAAACACCTCTCACTGGGCACAGACATCAATTCAACGTCTATTCCACGTTGGTTCGACGTGATCTCATTTAAATGACGTGGAAACAACGTTGATTCGACCTGTGTGTGCCCAGTGGACTGCTCTGTGAGCTAACGCACTGTATGTGAAATTATAATCTGCAGCACGGTTTATGATGTAAAAAAAAAAAACATTTGATGAATTGATTGATTGATTCATTCCTCCCCTCCAGCCAACCCACCTTGCCAACTTCACCCAGGTGCAGACCATTGGGTACTCCGTCATGGAGGACAAGGAGAGGAAGGGCATGCTGCAGCTCAACGTGGCCGGTGCTGCTGAGGTACCAATCAACCCTGGTTGTGTCACAGATGGCACCTTATTCTTTATATATGTAAGGAATAGAGTACCATAAGGATGCACACATATCATCATATCCCTTACCATGAGGTTGACTTCATCAACATGACTCGACGTGTTTAAAAGGTGCAAAAACTTTTGTAAATACTGCTCATTTCACCCATTAGAAAATCACATATTTTCAGCCTGTTCCCCCCCACATTTAGCTGAGCAGTGGACATAAGTGTGCCATTTCCAAATGGTTCCACATAGAGGTCTTCTTGTTGGGGATGACTTTTACTGTAACATACATTCATCCACTCGGGGCTCCGCCCTGTATGAATGGACCCTTTCATTTGTGTTACTAGAGGATGATTATAGTATTGGGTTACTACTCTGTCTGTCAGCCATAGAGGATGATTATAGTATTGGGTTACTACTCTGTCTGTCAGCCATAGAGGATGATTATAGTATTGGGTTACTACTCTGTCTGTCAGCCATAGAGGATGATTATAGTATTTGGTTACTACTCTGTCTGTCAGCCATAGAGGATGATTATAGTATTGGGTTACTACTCTGTCTGTCAGCCATAGAGGATGATTATAGTATTGGGTTACTACTCTGTCTGTCAGCCATAGAGGATGATTATAGTATTGGGTTACTACTCTGTCTGTCAGCCATAGAGGATGATTATAGTATTGGGTTACTACTCTGTCTGTCAGCCATAGAGGATGATTATAGTATTGGGTTACTACTCTGTCTGTCAGCCATAGAGGATGATTATAGTATTGGGTTACTACTCTGTCTGTCAGCCATAGAGGATGATTATAGTATTGGGTTACTACTCTGTCTGTCAGCCATAGAGGATGATTATAGTATTGGGTTACTACTCTGTCTGTCAGCCATAGAGGATGATTATAGTATTGGGTTACTACTCTGTCTGTCAGCCATAGAGGATGATTATAGTATTGGGTTACTACTCTGTCTGTCTGTCAGCCATAGAGGATGATTATAGTATTGGGTTACTACTCTGTCTGTCAGCCATAGAGGATGATTATAGTATTGTGTTACTACTCCGTCTGTCAGCCATAGAGGATGATTATAGTATTGGGTTACTACTCTGTCTGTCAGCCTTAGAGGATGATTATAGTATTGGGTTACTACTCCGTCTGTCAGCCATAGAGGATGATTATAGTATTGGGTTACTACTCTGTCTGTCAGCCATAGAGGATGATTATAGTATTGGGTTACTACTCTGTCTGTCAGCCATAGAGGATGATTATACTATTGGGTTACTACTCTGTCTGTCAGCCACAGAGGATGATTATACTATTGGGTTACTACTCTGTCTGTCAGCCATAGAGGATGATTATAGTATTGGGTTACTACTCTGTCTGTCAGCCATAGAGGATGATTATAGTATTGGGTTACTACTCTGTCTGTCAGCCATAGAGGATGATTATAGTATTGGGTTACTACTCTGTCTGTCAGCCATAGAGGATGACACAGTTGATGTGTGATGGGAGGGGCAGCTGGCAGCCCCAGTCAGAGCAGAACAGTTGTAACAGCCCTGTCCCTCTGCCCGTGCTGCTAATAATGACTATTTGTGGGCTGCTGCTCTGTGTCCACAGCCTCTCACAGTGACCACGCCGTCACTCACCACAGCTGAAAACATGGCCGACCTCATAGACGGCTACTGTCGCCTGGTCAACGGAGCCACCCAGTCCTTCATCATACGGCCACAGAAAGGTACGTCTTCCTCACACACACACACACACACACACTGTCTCAAAAACATACCAGGAGGTACCAGTGTGTGTTCATTTTACTAGATGGTTTTTAAGATTGTGTTGCTAGTGGGACACTGACAGTTGCACTCTGCCTTCGACACACACACACACACACACACACACACACACACACACACAAATATATACAGTTTGAGTTCGTATGGGGGCTGCTTACCTGCTTATGGTGTTGACGATTGTGTTGTGGCAGTCACAGATGTCCCACACACCGTCTCAAAAAGATACTACTACTAAGAATTATTACTGTAGTTGAAGTTTGTTTGGGTTTGAGTGTTAACATTACTAGGTTTTCAAGATTGCGTTGCTCCAGTGATGGTCACAGATTCACTCTGCCTTGTGTGATGTTCTCATTTCAGTCTAAATGGACTGCATTGTATTAGGTCATCTCCAAACATTAGGCAATCGCCGCAACAGTAGACTGTAGTGTTATTTTTTAACTCTTCCCGTTTTCTAAGGTTTCCAGTTGTAGTTTGATTTGGAAATACACTCATACAGAATTGTTTTGTTGTGGTCATGACTTCCCCGATGCCTTTATTACACATTGATAGTAGTTGTAGGTGAATTCACTGTCAATACTCAATGCCTTTATCAGTCTGATAGAGATCTGGTTTATTTTCAACAAAAAACACCTTAGTCTTTGCTTGAAGCAGATATGTTGTTGTTGTTGTTTTTTGGGGGGGGGGGGGGGGGGGGGGGGGGGGGGGGGGGGGTGTTAAGCCTTGTTTGGAGTTGGACTGTCTGCTCTTTCTTTTGTGGGAGTAGAGGGGAGTAGGGGAACACTTGAAACAGGCTATTCCTCTCCTGTGCTTGTGATTCCCCCCCCCCCCCCCACCCACCAAAAAACAAAAAACAAAACAAACAAAAAAAAAAAAAACAAAAAAAAAAAAAAAAAACAAACAAAACAACAAAAACAAAAACAAAAACCAAAAAAAACAACAAAACAAACCAAAAAACCACACCCACAACCACACCAACCACAACCCCCACCCACAACCTAACCCAATAACACAAACCAAAAACAAAACAGTACATACAGGACAATGCTACCAACCAACCCCATCTGTTTTTCTTTTGACTCAATGTAACAGCGATGTTCGGACGCTGCTGACAATCTCCTCTATCACAAGGGAGGCACATGCCCAATCCCCACAGATAAACACAACATCAGGGTCTACTGTATGGTACGGGTATATTTTGAATGTTCATTCACATAAAAACCTATATGATAGTGTAAACATAAAGAACTGTGTAAGAAAGAAAGAAACAAACAAGAAACCATCTGGTCAGTAAATCTATTTGTAGGACTCCTAGCGTCAGCTCTGTTGCCGGTAATAGGCTACGGCAGCGGTCGGCAAACCTTTTCCATTTGGAGTACAAAGTTATCGTACCATTTCTACTGATCTACGTGCCAGTTTTGATTTCCATATGCACATTTCCGAGGAACAGTTTCATTTAATTTATAATAGTCTTCATATCTCAAAATCAATGTCATGTGGTTAATCAAAATTCTATCTTAAATGAAAATGATACAAATCTAAAAGTAACTTCTATTGCCATTGCCAATATGTAAAAGTAGCCTACATAAAGCAAACATATAAAAACATTGCAGCCTGCAGGTAGAAAATATCCTGATAAAAATAAATATCCTATAAATCACATTGGCTACGCATGGCCTGTCTGCAAGGAACTTGAAACATTCTATCAACTATTAACTTGGTCAGGCCAAAGCTTGTACTAGCAAACTTGCAACATTGGAGAGAGCTGGAAATATTTTTCAAATAGGCTACATTGAGGAGCTATTGTCATTCTCAATTGATGTAAAAACAGACTTTGTTTACTTTCAGTTTGAGGCGAAGAAAAAATTACTTTGAGAAGCTACACAATGATGGTGAGTTAAGACAATCAGAAATAGTATCAGATCCCCGAGTTAAGACAATCAGAAATAGTATCAGATCCCCAAATGGGCACATTTATAGGCCTACATTTGCGCAGAGGCCAGGTAGCCCAGGCCTACTTCTATGCGTAATCAGGTGCGTGTCCTTACTCAAGATTGACAGAAGCGCTCCAAACAAAAGACAATGAATAAATTGACAACTCGTAAATGGAATGAAATAAACCAAAACTTTTTCCTCACAAGTGTAGCATAGGTTGTGCACTCTGCAAACAACGTGCCCACTCCTACAATGACAACGGTAAGACTGTAATAATAATATATTGAATGCATTACAGTAACCAAACAAACATTGTAGAATAAAAATTATGGTAATTAACGGTAAATGTACTACTGGGTGATACTGGTCTGCCATCCCCGCGTACTCTGCAATGGATTACTCCACTCAGACAGGCGTGAATAAATTATTTGTATATATTTGCCACTGCTCGATTTAAAAAAATCTCGGTCGACCAGCCTATCGACCAAACAATCAGTCGACTAAATGGGGTCAACCCTATTTCAGCTAGAGCTAGAGGGGTGTTTTCCACAATCACACCTTTTCTCTCTCTCTCGAGGTTAGAGAGAGAGAGAGAGAGAGGCTAGAGAGAGAACAGAGAACGAGAGGGGGATGAGAGAAGACAAAAGATGGGAGTACTAGCTCCTCTCTCCTCTTCTCTCTCTCTCTCTCTCTCTCTCTCTCTCTCTCTCTCTCTCCTCCCTCTCCCTCTCTGCTCTTTGGCTCTCTGGGCTTTGGTCAAATAAGGATAAACGTTATGGAGCCAAATATTTTCCACTTAGTGTTTTCAAACACTTGTAAAGGCTCTCTCTCTCGCTCTCTCTCTACATCTCTCTCTCTCTCTCTCTCTCTCTCTCTCTCTCTCTCTCTCTCTCTACATGCCTTGCTCTCTCTCTCTTTAGCTCAAATAACAAACTCTTCTAAAAAGCTGTTTAAACAGTTCTGGGGTAGAATCCTGATAAATAGTTCTCTACAGTAGGATCTTCTCAGAATTCCTCCTCCCTAGTCCCCATATTGGTCCTGCACCTCAACACTAGATCCTTCCAAGGCTGTTCAGTGGCTCCAGGAGGAGAATGGTTCTCAGAATATTGTGGATGTTTTCCATTTAGCCCCAGAGATCGTTTTCAGGAATGCACTTGAACCTCCTGGAGTTGCTGTGGACGCTGTTGATTTACTAACTGGTTTTAGGTTTGGGAATTTCCCTTGTTGATCCACTCGGTCTCTGCCCTTTACCCTGCAGGGTACCCAACAATGAGAAGAAGGTAGTAGAGGGGGTGGTCCGGAGCGCCGGGGTGCGTGCCATCTCTGTCTCAGGTAAGAGATCAGTGCCTCATCAATATCTCTGACTGTCTTATTGTACTGTACATAGCTGGGCTATTGATGGAAGTCCATATATGGGTGGCTGTTGGAGCGAAGATGACCACGCTTTTATCAGATAATCACTCTCAAGCTGATCCCAGATGCTTCCGTCCATTGATCTGTAAAACCACTGGATATTAGTAAGTATTAGATATCTAATGCTCAACCTAATATTGCATGAACGCCCTTACTTGGATGTTTGTGGGTATTAATATGGTTGGCTATACTTCCAGGATTACAAGCTAGCTAGATGGTTACCGTGGAGGTTTCCCAGACGATCTGATGTTGTCACTCAGATCATAAAAGTGCCTCTTATTTTTATTCAGTTGAGGCAACGATTTAGCAGCGGCAGTGCGCCTTTGAATTGCACGAGGCACATCTATCACACTGGAACGTAACACTGCAGCCTTAACATGCTTGTGGATTAGCAACTGGCAGGAGGAGTCACTGCTAAGGAGATGGGGAGGACGGGAGGGGATTGGCAGGGTGAGGAGGGTATGAGGGGGCCAGCAGGTGCCAAGGCCTGCAGCTGGAGATGCCCATGCAAACACAACCCCCCCCCCCCCTCCTCGACGAAGATGCACACACATTTTTTTCTCGAGGCAAGCCGAAGTCTACGGCCCTTCGTCGGTCATTGGTCAACAGTAGGGATTCTTCAATGAAGTGTTTGTTGTCTTTCAACGATAGACGACTCGTTTTCATGCACATTTTGTTCACTTGAACAAATACTGCTGTAAAATTGTGCGACTAAGATCTCCTCTGCAAAAAGTGCAAAATAATGACAGATTTCTTGAGTTATCTTCGATTAGTTTTGACTATTTTGGGGAAGGGTATACTGGCTAAGGCGTCTCAAGATGGACAAACAGTACTATTGCCGCTTTTTCTGGTTTTTCAAACAAAGGCAGTATGCGAGACATTTGTTGGGTTCACGTAGCTGAACTCGGCTAGGCGCCAGCCCAACCAAAGCATGTTGATGCCTTTAGACTCAGGAGCAGTTGGGTCCACGCTTTAGCTTCACTTACGTATCATTAGCATCAGACAAGGAGAATGACTGTCTTGTCCATTGTGTTTCACAGCTCTCCTCTCTCACTCTGTCTCTCTCTCTGTCTCGCTCTCCCCTCTGGGACGGTTGACGGGGAAAGAGCGACCCAGAGCCAAGGAACGGGCGAGGGGAGAGCAGAAAAGAGAGAGAGAAAAGAGGAGGAGAAAAGAGAAAAGCGAGAAGAGAAAGAAGAGAGGCAAGAGAGAAGCCAGAAGCGAGCCAAACGCATGGGCGATAGAAAAAAGCGATCAGACGAAAAGAGAGAGAAATAGCCCACAGAGACAGAGAGAGAAACCGCGCGGAAAAAATCGCTCATACCCTCTTCTCTCGCCTCGCTAGTCTCCGCAGCTCTACTATCTCTCTCTCTCTCTCTCTCTCTCTACATCTCTCTCTCTCTCCCTTCCTCCCTACATCCTTTTGCCTCCCTCTCTCTTCCCCAGTCTATTTCTCTTAATCTTCTAAATGTCAGAGGCCTGTGATGTGGCTGGTGAATGTTAATAGCCTGGGGGGCTGCAGTTACAGATAAAGGCCTGATTGAAGGGGTTGGACAGGCCCTGTTAACTGACCAGGGGTCAGAGATTAGGGGAGTAGAGAGTCAGACAGTATGGTATCAAAGAGATGCTTGTGTTCTATGCTGCTGAGAGCTTGTCTCTGAGGTTGGGAGGGTCAGAGGGTGTCATAGGGTGATATTAAGTGTCGTAGGGTATCTTAGGGTGCGTCAGCTCTCTTGTAGCTACACAGTGATGTAAAGGTTGAGGAGTGTAGTACTCACAGATAGTATATTCCAGATAGATGGTTAAGAGTTTACTGATTTGTTTTAAACAATATGGTTTGATGATTTTTTAGCATATGCCCACAGTAGGCCTATCTATATAAACACTTCTTTAAATGCAGTTTTTGAAACAAACTATGGGATAAGTCTCCTCTCTACCACTGTCAGTAATTAATAGTCATACTGGTTGTTTCAGTTGCACTGTCAGACTGGATGCTATTTCATAGTGGGTTGAAAAAAATATGTTTTGGGAGTTTTTACAATTTATTCAGACAGTGAGGAAGATCGTAAGGGGAGACAGCCAAGTGGGAGAAACAGTGAGAAAGGTGGACGCGGGAATCGAACCCCAGTCTCCGGTGGGGAGTTGTATATGTGACTTATGCTGAGAAGTGTTACCACCACACTACAGCTCTGCACTTGATAGTGGACATTTTGCCACATATCAAAAACACTGAGGTTAAACGGAGTGTTAATGGAGTGTGTTCTGAGACGGTCTGAGTTCCATGTTTACACCAGTTCTTGATACCATCCATCAATGCTATTACTCAGAAAGGGCTCAGAGAGAAAAGCCCTAAAAAAAAAGCTAAAGCATAAATCCAATATATTTAACTGAATTCATTCGATATTGTGTCAGTGTACAGTCATATCCAAGACCTTTTGAAGAAGTGGAAATCAATTCCTTAGCCCCGGTGTAGAATAGTGAAGGATTTATTACTATGCTGTCAGAAATGACGTATTTAAAGTGAGGCTAGCGCTGCCATGTCGGTTTTGACTACCCTGTTGGTCGGTATAAGAAAGGAGAGATTGATTAATATTTTTATTATTGACGTATTTCATGTAGTTTCATAACAGGCATGCCAGAGTGATAATGATTTCTGAGGTGTAAATGGAAATTTAAAATGTTCTCTGGAATATGGGAAAAGTTTCGGACTCCGTCACACCAACATTCATCACTCCTTCACAAATGCTGTCTGCTGCTCAATGTGTGTTCTGTGGTGAAGTTGCCCCTAGACACTGATCTGGGGTCAGTTTAGCATTTTCCCCACTAATGGTTAAGGTTAGGATTGACAGAGGGGAAGCTGATCCTAAATGTGTACCTGGGGGAAACACCCCAGAGCTTTTTTTGTCAGAAGCACTATTCATCTCTTCTTCTCACCATCTCTCCCGCTCTCTCATCCCTCTCTCTGATTGGCTGAAGACTCTGTCAACTCTGTGATCCCAACACCTCCTAAACCTGCTAAAGCCAGGCGCTTTCTCCTTCCTTTTGTCTACTGTGCACATGACTCTTCGTCAAAGGGTACCACTGCTCTGATTGGCTGACTAGACTGACCCTGCTTCCTGTTTTTCTCTGACTAACCATGTCTGCCACACTGAGTGCCCAAATCCCCAACGCACACACACACACACACACACACACACACACAAACAAACACACAGGGCCACGTAACAAGTGTGTAGGGGATTGAGGTGAAGTGTGGAGATGTCAATAGAAAGTTCTGTTGAGAAACCCTCTCTAAAAATGCCTGACAAAGCAACAGCTACAATGGCCGAACAGAACTAGCCTGCCGGGAAAAAAGGAATATCTCCTCAATGAGATTAAACACATCTCATCGCTCATGCCCTATCCCTGTCGTGTCTTAGAATAAAACACCTTTAAACCGATCCAGCTTTCCAAGACTGCAAGATCAAATTAATTACACATTTAATTTTTTCCCGGGAAGGTGTGTCGCCTGCTGATTGTAGTCGAGTCACGGCCCGCAAAACCAATAGAGGCTGAGTCCCAAATGACACCCTATTGCCTTATGGGCCATGGTCAAAAGTAGTGCACTATAAAGGGAATAAGGTGCTATCCCCATTTGGGATGCACCAGAGCCTGACTGGGCTGTTACTGGGCTGATGGTGCAGGACTGCTGTAAGGCCACGTCAGCAACCAGGCAGATGACCTATAGCTTCTGAGAGGTTAAAGATGAAACACCCTTTAATAGCTTTCTGACTTAATAACCATCTGTTTATATTGCTATAATCACACAGATGTAGATATCCTATATATCGCTATAAATTCAGCTGGATTTTGCCAGCTGAGTTTATGCCCTCAAGGATGTGTAAAAACAAAAATAATCTAACTACAAAGTTAACCAACACCAGAGAGGAAGATGCGAAGCAAGAGGGTTTACTCCGCTCAAAATCTGTACACAAAAATAAGCCCTCGAAGTGAGGAATTCTTGTATGGAGGTCAATGAGAAAGTTTCGAATTTGGTCAACAAAAAACGTAATTGCTAATTTGCTACGTGGGGCTTATTTGATCAAATATACGTTTCGTAATGGTTAGGTTGTTACGAATGCACTGATGTAAGTGGACGCACCTGGTATTTCGGCAACTTTGAAAAAATCAACTTTTATATTGGAGTTGTGCCTGTTGTTCACACACGTATCTGCCCACTCAATGGCTAGAACGGTCCCACCTGATCTCGCCTCTTCCCATGCTAAGAATAGCCAGGTGATAGCCAATTAACTCCACCGACCCCGCTCCGAACAATGCTGGCTGGAGTTCACTGCTCTGGCCGTCCCTTCAACCAAACTCAATCAGGTTCCACACATTCCAACGACAGACTAACTCAATTTAAAGTAGAAGCTTTCCCACTGATACTAAATAAAAGCATGGATTGGATACACTGTTGAAATGCCCAGTCACTGCTTGTCTTGAGGGAAGGTGTCACGGTAACAATTATTAAACTCATTTTGAATGAATATACCTTGTCTTTTATACTTTTCCATATAATTGGTTGAAAAATTGTGGGATAAAGGATAAGGAGAGAGAGAGGAAGAGAGAACGAGAAGGAAAGAGGAGTAGAGAAGAGAGAGAGAGAGAAGAGAGAAAAAAAAAGAGGAGAGAAGAGAGAGAGAAGAGGAGAGAAAACAAGAGAGAGAGGCAAAGAGAGAGAGAGAGAGAGAGGGAGAGAGAGAGAGAAAAAAAAGGTAGGAGAGAAGAGAGAAGGAGAGAGAGAGAAAGAGAGAGAGCAGAGAGAGAGAGAGAGAGAGAGAGAGAGGGAGAGAGAGAGAGAGAGAGACGAGAGGAGAGAGAGAGAGAGAGAGAGAGAGAGAGCGAGAGAGGAGAGAGAGGGGAGAGAAACGAGAGAGAGAGAGAGGGAAGACTAAACAGATAGAAAAAGAGAGAGAGAGAAAGAAAAAAGAGCAGAGAGCAGAGACGCTAGAAGAGAGAAACAGAGCGAGGTCGATCTACTATACGCAGAAGGCGTAGAGATAAAAAATGTATAGATTACTATCTTCTCTAAGAGCGCTCTATCACTCTCTCTCTCTCTCTCTCCTTCTCTCTCTATCTCTCTATCTCTCTCTCTCTCTTCTCTCTTCTTCCTCTCTCCCCTTTCTTTCTCTCTCTCCCTCATTCTCTCTGTTTTGCATGCTCTCCTTGGACCTGCAGAGGATTGTAGTGGGGATGGTAATGTTTGGCTTCTTTTAATATTTCCCTCCATTCCTTCCTGTCACCTGCTACTAACTCACTGGGGCCATGAGGGATTCTGGGGGTTTGTGTTGTGTTGTGTGTATGACTCTACTGTATGTTCCCTATGATGACTCATGAATCATATCAATCACATGAATCATGAATCAAATTAAATGAATCTGTTGTTATCTATCTGCTTCTAGAGGTTTGTCATTGGTAATGCACTAATCATGCAATAGACGTGATTGGAGTTAGGGAATCAATGTAACTTTTAACGTCTCTAGAAAATGTGCTGAAAATTGTGCTGAAATCTGTCCGAGGTGCAGTGCTGCCATGTGATTCGAATCGATTGAGTTTGAGCCTGTCTACAGTGCCAAATTGGCGGGGTTTGAACTTTTGGGACTATTCCATTGGTTCCATGGTGCCAGACAAGCCTAATCAATCACAGATTAAAGTATTTGAAAGAAAACAAATGCTAGGCTGTTTGAACCCAGGTTTGTTCAGTTTTTCTGTCCTAAAATCTGAACCGGTATTCACAAAGAGTCTCAGATTAGGCATGCTGATCTAGGATCAGTTTTTCATTTTTTATCACAATGAATAAGATTAGATAGACAATGGGGGAACATGATCCTAGATCAGCACTCCTGCTCTCTGCCTGCGTCTTTAAGGGCCCAGCTCCAAGCCCTCTCCCAGCTCGGCCCCGTGAAGAGAGCTGAGTTTGGCTGGAAGAGCAGAGCTCCGTGGCACTGCTTTCCTTCCTGTCTAAAATGGGCCGCCTGGCGGCTGGCTAAACACTACACGATCTGGTGTTCTCCCTTCCCTAAGAGGAACAGTAGCCAAGACGGCACAGCTAGCGAATGACCATTTTCGATCAAGTCAAGATTGGACAGCCAGAGGCCGTTCACATACTGTAAACACCTAAGTCTGTTTATCTAGGGGATGGGGGATGGCAGGGAGCTCGGCCTAGTGATGGACTGGACCGTGCACACTACTCTCTGTAGAGCTCTTCTCTCTCTTTCTCTCTCGTGAAGAGAAAGGGAATAACTGGTTCCATCCCCCCCCTCCGTCTCCACGTCCCCTCTCCTCCCCTCTTCTTCACCCCTAACCCAGAAGCCCAGCTGTACTGCTGAGTTCTGATTGGCTAGACAGACAGACAGAGCAGACAGATATGCGGCTGAAACTGTGAGAGTTTCGAGCGCAAATGCTTGTGTTTCTGTGTGTGTTTACTGTACGAGGCCGAGTGTGTGCGTGTACGAGAGAACGCGTGTGTCTCGCTCTGTGTCCGGCAGTGTGGGAATTTGCCGAGGAGCACTTGCTATGTGACTCGCATATTTATTTTCAGCTGGCTGTAGTTACTTGTGTGAAAGGGGGTATGTGTCTGGCTAGCTTTATCTGTGTGTATCCGTCTCTGGAGGTGGTGTGTGTGTGTGACTGGACTGACCACGAGGCTGTTGTGTTTCTGCAGAGACAGACGATTATGCTGAGATTATAGACGAAGAGGAAACCTACACCATGCCCTCAAGTAAGTACAGCTCCATGCTCCCTGGTATTGTAGTACAGTATGTTAATGTTAATGTCTGTTGTCCAGACTGTCTCAAGGGATCCAGTCCAGATGTGTTTTCTCTAATTCTCTTTCACGTTCTCTCTCTTGGTCTCTATCTTCTCTTTCTATCTGTCTCTCTATCTCTCTCATTCTTTTTCTCTCTCTCTCTCTCGTTCTTTCTATCTCTCGTTCTTTCTCTATCTCTCGTTCTGTCTCTCTCTCTCGTTCTGTCTCTCTCTCGTTCTCTCTCTCTCGTTCTGTCTCTCTCGTTCTGTCTCTCTCTCTCGTTCTGTCTCTCTCTCTCTCGTTCTGTCTCTCTCTCGTTCTCTCTATCTTGGTCTCTTTCCTCTTTCTCTTCTTCTTTCTGTCTGTCTCTCTCTTTCTCACTCTTCGTCCTTCTCTCTCTATCCAAATTCCCTTGAACGTGGCCCCGGTACTGATTTGTGAACTATTTTCTCCCCCTAAGGCTCTGTGGATTTGTTGATGCGGCTGCTGGAGCCTGTAGAGTCCACCAAATACCAGACACACTGCCTGTGTGTGTCTTTTCTAGGAAACGTAACTACTCTAACAGTCAGATTGTCTGGTACACTCAATGTTTGGTTGTCATGGTGACAGTGTAAGACTCTACACATACTGTAACATCTATGCTTTAAAATGTGGGAAACAGGTTAGTCACATATTCATATTGATGGTCTGCCTATGATCCTTGCCTCACTTAATACTGCTGTCATGATGCTGTCCAAATCAGATACTGATTCTGTTCCATTATGATTTACTGATAGTTTAAGAAAATATCCAGGGAAAGCCTAGTAGTACATCATCAGCAAAAACCTAATATCTGTCACAAATGTTGATTATTATTAAATTGAATAGTCATGTCATTGAGTAGTCCTCATTCAGGACTAAATATGACAGGTGCCCTTTAAGTGTACTGCAGTGAAAGAATGAGTTAGTCATAGAATTAGAATCACTAGAATTAGTTAGTCATAGAATTAGGACCATTAAAATGAGTTACAGTCATAGAATTAGAATCACTAGAATGAACATAGCCCCTCAGACCATTGTACACCCATAGCCGCCAGTACACCCGCCACGGAACATTGACTTCAATGGGAATGTCTGTTCTAATAATTGGAATTATATGTCTCCAGTAACCCCAGGGTCCGTAGTGACCATGATACTGAGTCTCCAGTAACCCCAGGTCCTTAGTGACCCATGATGCTGAGTTCCAGTAAACCCCAGGTCCTAGTGACCATGATGTGGGTCTACAGTAACCCCAGGTCCTTAGTGACCAATGATGCTGAGTCTCCAGTAACCCCAGGTCCTTAGTGACCATGATGCTGAGTCTCCAGTAACCCCAGGTCCTGTAGTGACCATGATACTGAGTCTCCAGTAACCCCAGGTCCTTAGTGACCATGATGCTGAGTCTCCAGTAACCCAGGTCCTTAGTGACCATGATGTGAGTCTCCAGTAACCCCAGGTCCTTAGTGACCATGATGCTGGGTATCCCGTAACCCCCAGGTCCTTAGTGACCATGATGCTGAGTCTCAGTAACCCCAGGTCCTTAGTGACCAATGATGCTGAGTCTCCAGTAACCCCAGGTCCGTAGGACCATGATGCGGGGGTTTCCCGTAACCCCAGGTCCTTAGTGACATGATGCTGAGGGCCCAGTAACCCCAGGTCTTAGTGACCATGATAATGAGTCTCCCTAACCCAGGTCCGTAGTGACCATGATGCGAGGTCTCCAAGTAAACCCAGGAATTAGTGACCCTGATGCTGAGTCTCCAGTTTAACCCAGGTCCTTAGTGACCATGATTTCTGAGTCTCCAGTAACCCAGGTCCGTTTGTGACCATGATACTGAGTCTCAGTAACCCCAGGTCCGTAGTGGGCCATGATGCTGGGTCTCCAGTAACCCCCGGTCCGTTTCTGACCATGATACTGAGTTCCAGTAACCCCAGGTCCTTTGTGACCATGTACTGAGTCTCCAGTAACCCCAGGTCCTTAGTGACCATGATGCGAGTCTCCAGTAACCCAGGTCCTTAGTGACCATGATGCTGAGTCTCCAGTAACCCAGGTCCTTAGTGCCATGATGCTGAGTCTCCAGTAACCCCAGGTCCGTAGTGGACCATGATACTGAGTCTCCAGTAACCCCAGGACCTTAGTGACCATGATGCTGAGTCTCCAGTAACCCCAGGTCCTTAGTGACCATGATACTGAGTCTCCAGTAACCCCAGGTCCTTAGTGACCATGATACTGAGTCTCCAGTAACCCCAGGTCCTTAGTGACCATGATGCTGAGTCTCCAGTAACCCCAGGTCCTTAGTGACCATGATGCTGAGTCTCCAGTAACCCCAGGTCCTTAGTGACCATGATACTGAGTCTCCAGTAACCCCAGGTCCTTAGTGACCATGATGCTGAGTCTCCAGTAGCACCATGATACTTAGTCTCGTGGGATCACATGAGGCATGAACACAATAGCCCCTGCAGCGGTGTAGTCTGCCTCCCAAATGGCACGCTATTCCCTACATAGTGCACTTATTTTGACCAGAGCCCATTGGCCCTGGTCAAAAGTAGTGCATTATATTGGGAATAGGGTGCCATTTGGGACGTGTAGCTGATTCACCAGGCTGTGGAGTGGACTGGGCCAGCTGACTCATAAGACTGTCTGGTCTGTGAAAGAAAGAAAGAGTTCCTCTGTAACAAGGAGCTCTGTGTATGAAGACTGAGTGTGCCATCGCACACTTACACTGGAGACCAGAGCTCTCTCCATTCAAAAAAGTAATCTATCCAGCATATATACGTTTCTTTGTACCACATGGGGATTTGAGACCAAGGATAATGCAGAGTCCCAAATGGCACCCTATTTCCTGTTTAGTGCACTACTTATGACTAGGGCCCATAGGGAATAGTAGTTAGAATAGGGTGCCATCTGAGACACAGCCTAAATAACACATAGATTTATAGAGGATCAAGTGTTGCGATACTAAAGCTTCAACACGTGTAAGGAGACATCTAATGTAACATATTGTTGTTAGACAGGCTAACCTGTTTTTCCCCATTGACACCCAGCTCTGTGCACCATCTGTCTCAGAAGGTGGTTCTTTAAACCCCATAACTTCTATTCCCCTTGGTCCTACTTTCTTCTCTGTGTGTGTCTCCTGGTCTGTGGTGAATGGTTTCTAAAAGCCACCTCTCTTTATCCTAACCGCCCAGCAGTGAGCTATGGAGTAGACGAAGGTAACACTGTCTGTCTGTCTCTCTGTCTCTCTCTCTCGCTTCTCTCTCTCTCTCTCTCTCTCTCTCTCTCTCTCTCTCTCTCCTCTATCTCTCTCTCTCTCTATCTCTCTTCTCTCTCTCTCTTCCTCTCTCTCTCTCTCTCTCTCTCTCTCTGTTGTCCATCATGGTTGTGATTGTGGTTATGTACTGTACTAGAACGGCTCATTCAACTCTGCTACTGGAAAATAGGTTTAAATCAATTAATTACATTCTCTCCAAAATCAAAGTTTGACAGACTTTTCAGATCCAGCCATATGCCTCGATCCCAAATGAATTTGAAAGATAGGAATTGTTTAATTTCATCAGCTTAGACGGTATCCATCTTTCGCATTCCATTTAAACCCCTGAAAAACGTTGAATTTGAAGTGAACTATTGCTTTAGTACTGTTTGCTTAACCCAAGTAGCCTATCTCTCTAGCCGTGAGATGAAGCAATCTCACCCAATCAGCACCAGAGGTGAATGTGTCTTCAATAGTGTGATTGTTCAATTGACTTATTTATTTATTATTCATGTTCTTGATGTGTTTCTTCATTGGTTTTCCTTTAATTGCTTTAACTTTTTGTTGTGAAATTCCATTTATCATCCATTCGTTTTGTTTGTTATGTGTCTGTCTGGGGAGAAAATGTGCAATTATCTTAACTGAAACGGATACATCAAACCAGTGGTAGCCTGTTGTAATTTGAAATACGCAGGGAGGAGCAAATATATTGAGTGCTACATACATGTGTGTTGACATCACTACAGCCTGGTCATTTTCTGTTGCAGTGTGTATGTCATTGCCTGGTGTTGTGTGTGAATGGCCTTATACAGATACACTATATATACAAAAGTATGTGGACACCACTTCAAATTCGGCTATTTCAGCCACACCCGTTGCTGCAGGTGTATAAAATCGAGCACACAGCCATGCAATCTCCATAGACAAACATTGGAAGTAGAATGGCTTTACTGAAGAGCTCAGTGACTTTCAACGTGGCACCGTCAAGTCAGTTCGTAAAATGCCTGCCCTGCTAGAGTTGCACTGTTCAACTGTAAGTGCTGTTATTGTGAAGTGGAAACGTTTATGAGTAACAAAGGCTCAGCCGCGAAGTGGTAGGCCACACAAGCTTACAGAACAGGACCGCCGAGTGCTGAAGCGACACTCACTACCAAGTTCCAAACTGCCTCTGGAAGCAATGTCAGCACAATAACTGTTCGTCAGGAGCTTCATGAAATGGGTTTCCATGGCCGAGCAGCCGCACACAAGCCTAAGATCACCATGGGCGATGCAAAGCGTCAGCTGGAGTGGTGTAAAGCTCGCCGCCATTGGACTCTGGAGCGGTGAAAACGCATTCTCTGGAGTGATGAATCACATTTCATCATCCGGCAGTCCGACGGACAAATACCTGCCCCAATGCATATTGCCAACTGTAAAGTTTGGTGGAGGAGGAATAATGGTCTGGGGCTGTTTTTCATGGTTTGGGCTAGGCCCCTTAGTTCCAGTGAAGGGAAATCTTAACGTACAGCATACAATGACATTCTAGACGATTCTGTGCTTCCAACTTTGTGGCACCGTTTGGGGAAGGCCCTTTCCAGTTTCAGCAAGACAATGCGAGGTCCATACAGAAATGGTTTGTCGAGATCAGTGTGGAAGAACTTGACTGGCCTTCACAGAGCCCTGACCTCAACCCCATCAAACACCTTTTTGGGATGAATTGGAACACCTACAGTGAGCCAGGCCTAATCGCCCAACATCAGTGCCCGACCTCACTAATGCTCTTGTGGCAGAATGGAAGCAAGTCCCCGCAGCAACGTTCCAACATCTAGTGAAAAGCCTTCCCAGAAGAGTGGAGGCTGTTATAGCAGCAAAGGGGGGACCAACTCCATATTAATGCCCATGATTTTGGAATGAGATGTTCGACGAGCAGGTGTCCACATACTTTTGGTAATGTAGTTTATGTACAGTACTACCGTCTACTGCAGTCAAAATACAGCCAAGGCTTCTAGCTGTTATTATTAACAACCAAAAATGGCCTCATCAGCTCTTCCTTACTTGGGTTACCCATCCATTTGTGGCTTAGCTCACACACACACACAAACGCACGCACCCACACCACACCATACCACACTGAACCACACCACACCGAACCACACAACACCACACCATACCACACCACACAACTAACAGGGGTTATCTTTCCCTCCCCAGCCAGGGACTATGAGATCCAGAGAGACAGGATCGAGCTTGGACGCTGCATCGGAGAGGGACAATTTGGAGACGTCCACCAGGGAGTCTACAACAGCCCGGTAAATAGTACAAGTATATAGTACTGTAACAAGTATATAGTATTGTATAAGTATATTGTACTGTAACAAGTATATAGTACTGTAGCAAGTATATAGTATTGTATAAGTATATAGTACTGTAACAAAGAAATAGTACCGTATCTGTCTTGCTAAATGCAGACGAAGCATCTCTCCTCTCACCCTCAATCCCTACGTGTTCATCTCAATTCCACCCGACTGTTACTGTCTAGCTAAATGCATCTCTCTTCTCATTTATATGTTCAATATTTTCATGTACATAAACTGACCCAATGTTTTGTCTTATGTCTGACTTCCAGGAGAATCCCACTCTGAACGTGGCCATTAAAACGTGCAAGAACTGCACATCGGACAGCGTGCGCGAGAAGTTCCTTCAGGAAGCATGTGAGTGTGCTGAAACGTGCTGTAAGCTGGTACTGTGTCACTGTGATGGGCCTGATAATGACTGCGCACACACACACACACACACACACACTACCTGATGGTAGTCTCAGGTTGCTTTACTCACTGGGTTTACAGTGTTCACCGACAGTTGAGGAAGGAATGTGTTCTATTTAAGGAAGCTGGTAACTGTAAACATTGGCTTCGTTCCAAACGTCACTATGTAGGGAATAGGGTGCCATTTAGCATGCAGTGGTGTTTGAGCCTATGTGTTAGACCTACCCCAGTTACTTTTTCTCTATTCCTTTGAAAAACTCAATCAAATCTTATTTTTTTATTTATTACATTTTTTAGGGGGTAATCAAATGTTAGTCTACAGCTTTCCACTCTAGTGTTTCAACTGTTTGTTGAAATCCTCACACCCCTTTGTGATGTTTGTTCCTCAGTGACCATGCGTCAGTTCGACCACCCCCACATAGTGAAGCTGATCGGTGTGATCACAGAGAACCCGGTGTGGATCATCATGGAGCTGTGCACGATGGGAGAGGTGAGGCGTCCTGGGGGTTTGGTTGGCAGCCAGTAACCCATACAAACACTGAGTATGTTTTGATAGATAGGCTACGTGCAGTACGCAGAGGTGTTGTTGGAGTTCTTGTCATTCTTGTAATGAATGGGAGATCACAGAAGGCAGGAACATGTTTGGAAATAGGGCCACAGTTTCCTCTGTCGTTCACCTAGCTCTGTAAAAACGAAGAGGATAAATCTTATTGACGTTTTAATCTTCCAGTTGAGGTCCTTTTTACAAGTAAGGAAGTACAACCTGGACCTGTCAACGTTGGTCCTGTTCTCCCACCAGCTCAGCACAGCCTTGGCCTACCTGGAGAGCAAACGCTTTGTCCATAGGTAAGACCATGACCCATTTAAGTTTTTACATTTTCTAATATATTTATTTGTGCCACGCTGTCAATATTTAAGTACTCAATGTTCCGTTTGCAGAATTCCAGAATCTTTCCAAAATCCCCAGGTTTTCCAGAATTCCTAGTTATTGTGTATCTCTTTGTGTGGATCTCTTCAGGGACATTGCTGCCAGGAACGTGTTAGTGTCTTCCACAGACTGTGTGATGCTGGGAGACTTTGGCCTCTCCCGCTATATGGAGGACAGCTCCTACTACAAAGGTACAAACCTGTTTTATACGGTCTCTGGTACAAACCCACTGACTTCCAGGCTGGTGTTTGAGCACCATCTGCTGGTTGTGAAAGCCATTGCAGAATGTCTACGCGCTGAAGCACATATGTGTTTTTGTCTCAACGTCCAATCTCTTTTTTCAGCTTCCAAAGGGAAACTTCCAATCAAATGGATGGCTCCAGAGTCCATCAACTTCAGACGCTTTACCTCAGCCAGTGATGTGTGGATGTTTGGTGAGTTTGGCAGCTACAAATTACACACATCTAGCTATCAACTCCTGTGTTTGTGTCTGTCTATGTCATATCTAGAGCCTGTCCTAACAGTCTTTCCCCACTCTCTCCCACAACTCGCTCATCCCCTCTCAGAGTACGCCCGCCGCGCGCCGGCCGAGCAGGCGCGCGTACGCCCGCGACCGAGAGCCCGTCTCAGGCGACGCCAGCAGCGCTCCGCAAAGCGGAGACGACTCCCGTCCCCGACGAGCCGCCGCCTTCCCAACAGCCGGAAACAGTACGCAGCAGAAACAGCCCCGACACACCCTCCGGACGCTCAAGAGGAATACCGCCGAAGCCACACACAGCCGCATACCCAACTCCCGCTAGACCGCCGATCGCTCCAACCCTCTCGTCCTCTACGCCCCTCACCCTTCTCCTCCCCTCCTCTCCCCCCCCTTCATTCTCCTCTCTCTCCTCCCTCCTCTCTCCTCCCCTATCCTATCTCTCTCTTCTCTCCTCCCCTCTCCTCCCCTCCCTAACCTCTTTCCCCAACCTCCTTCCCCTCCCCCCTCCTCTCCAGGTGTGTGCATGTGGGAGATCCTCATGTACGGTATCAAGCCCTTCCAGGGGTGAAGAACAATGATGTCATCGGGCGGATAGAGAACGGAGAGCGTCTGGCCATGCCTCACAACTGTCCCCCCACCCTGTACAGCCTGATGACCAAGTGCTGGGCCTACGACCCCAGCAAGAGACCCCGCTTCACAGAACTCAAAACCCAGCTCAGGTCAGTACCTCTGGGGGGAGAAGCTCAGGGGTCGGAAGTGCTGATCTAAGAGCAGTGTTTTCCTTTTCGATCCTAATGAATAAAATAACAAGGACAGGGAGGATCTGATCCTAGATCAGCACTCCCACTCTGAGATGCTGCATTAATATAGGCCCTGCTGAAGTATATGCCTCAGGATAGAAGGTGCCCTTAAGTACAGATCTAGGATCAGCTTAACTAACCTATTCCTAACCGTAACCATTAGTAGGGGGCGAAACACTAATCTGTCTAGAAGAAACTCTTCATACGTGCTTGGCAGTGTTCTTTCACACACAGTATCCCTGCTTTATAACTCTGGAATAATGATGTTCAACATTGCTACACAAGAGGTCACTGTTACATGTATTAATGTACAGGACACTTCAGTAAGTTTAGAAACAGAGTGGTCTCAGCTACTTAAATTGTAATCCACATAAGAGGCAACAACTTGATGCCATATTCCCAATAGAGACTATCAGATAGCAGCACACAATGCACTTCAGTGGTCTATCTATGTCAGTCAAATCCGTGGTAGCTAGATAAAGTGTGATGTACTTAGATATTTTAGTCTAGTGGAAGCAAAGCCACATTACAGGGTGTGTGTGGGTACATTTCTATGGGTAGTCCTTGCCTGCGTCCCAAATGGCACCCTATTCCCTATATAGCACACTACTTTTGATTTGGGACGTAGCCCTTTTGTGGTGGATTTATTGCCTAGCCATCCCATGGGCCATTTGCCTTAGTATGTGAGAACCTGTCTGTCTGTCTGTCTGTCTGTCTGTCTGTCTGTCTGTCTGTCTGTCTGTCTGTCTGTCTGTCTGTCTGTCTGTCTGTCTGTCTGTCTGTCCATAGATAAAGCCCTAGAGGATATGAGCCATTCTCTTTTCTGTTAACTTTAGACCGACTGGGCTGTGTGACTCATGTGTCCCTACTAGATAATAGTTCCCATCCCACTGGACCCATATTCAACACAGACCCATGTCCATAGGCCTATGCTGAGCAGTGGGTATGTTCTGGGAGAAGAGAAGGAGAGGGTGTGTATAAAGGGAGAGGGGGTGTATAGAGGGAGTGTATAGAGGGAGAGGGGGTGTCGGGTTTTGTTTGTTTTGTGTATAGGCCTAGGCTGAGAGGGGTGGTATAGAGGGAGAGGTGTGTATCTGGTTTATAGAGGGGGGGGTTTTGGGGATAGGGGGGAGAGGGTGTTGGGGTTGGGGATGGGGGAAGGGGGGTTGTTAGAGGGGGTGTTTTAGAGGGAGGGTGTGTTATAGAGGGGGAAAGGGGGGGTTTGGGTTGTATAGGGGGAAAGGAGGGGTGTATGGGAGGGGGGGGTGTATAGGAGGGGGGGGTTTGGGGTTTATAGAGGGTGTTTTTTGGGGAAGAGAGGGAGAGGGTGGGGTTTTAGAGGGGGGGGTTTATAGAGGGGGGGGGTGTGTATGGGGGAAGGGGGTTTATAGAGGGGTGTATAGAGGGAGAGGGTGAAATAGAGGGGTTTATAGGGGGAGAGGGGGGTATAGGGGGTGTATAGAGGGAAAGGGGGGGTGTGTATAAGAGGGGGGGGGTGGGAGGGGGTATAGGGGGGATTTGTGTATAGAGGGAGAGGGGGGTATAGAGGGGGGGTTTTTATAGAGGGGAGGGTTGGTGAGAGGTGTGTTGTATAGGGGGAGGGGGTTTGTGGTATAGAGGGGGGGGTGTTTTAAAAGAGGGAGAGGGGGGGGATAGGGGGGGGGTTTTTATAGAGGGGGGGTTTAAAAGGGGGAAAGAGGGGGGTTAAGGGGGAGGGGGTTTTTAAAAGAGGGAGGGGGGGGGTTTATAGAGGGGAAGAGGGAGAGGGTGTGTATAGAGGGTGTGGGGGTGGAAGGGGGAAGAGGGTGTGTATGGGGGGAAAGGGGGTTTTTCTAGAGGGGGGTTTTTGTATAGGGGGGGAAGGGGGGGTTTGTTGAGAGGGGAGGGGGTTTGGGGGGTATAGAGGGAGAGGGGTGTTTTAAAAAGGTTTGGTAAAAGGGGAGGGGGAAGGGGGTGTGTATAGAGGGAGGGGGGGAAGGGGGGGTGTTTTAAAGGAGAGGGTGTGTAAGAGGGAGAGGGGTGTATAAAGGGGGGATAGAAGGGGTTTAAGAGGGGAGGGTGGGTTAGGGGGGAAGGGGGGGGGTTGTGTATGAGGGGGGGGATGGGAGGGGGTGTGTAAAAGGGGGAAAGAGGGTGGGTATAGAGGGGGGGGGGTGTTATAGAGGGAAGGGGTTTTTGGGGTGTATAGGGGGGGTTTAGGGGGGGGGTTTAGGGGGAAAAGGTGGGTTTAAAGGGGGAGAGGGGTGGTAAAAGGGAAAAGGTGTTTTGGAGGGGGGGAGGGTGTTGGGGGAGGGAAAGAGGGTTTTTTTTTTTGGGGGGTTTGGTGTTTAGGGGGGAAGGGGGGGATGAGTTAAAAGGGGTTTTGGGTTTTTTAAAAGGGGAGGGGGGGTTTTTGGGTTAAAAGGGAGGGGGGGGTTATGAGGGAGGGGTTTTGTTATAAAGGGAAAGGGGTTTGGTGATAGAGGGAGGGGGTTTGGGGATTAAAGGGGAGGGTGTTATAAGGGAGAGGGGGGGGTTTTTGTTGGAAAAAAGGGGGAGGGGAGGGGGCGGGAGGGGGGTTTGGGGTTGGGGGGGAAGGGGGGGGTGTGAGGGAAAGGGTTTTTTATGGGGGTGTTTAGAGGGATGGGAGGGGTTTTGGGTTAGGGTCAAAAGGGAGGGGTTTGGGGGTTGAGGGAGAGGGTTTTTTAATGGGGAGGGGGTTTTAAATTAAGAGGGTGTTAAAAAGGGGGAGGGGGTTTTGGGGTTAAAAGGGGGGTGTGAAAATAAGGGGGGGGACGAGGGGGGTGGTATAGAGGGGGGGTTGTAAAAAAGGGGGGGTGTTAGAGGGGGGGTTTTTTAGGGGAAAGAGGGTGGGTTTGAGGGAGGGGTGTGTTTTAAAAGGGTGTGAAAGGAGGGGGGGTGTTTAGGGGGAGAGGGGGGGGGTGTTATAAGGGGGGAGGGGGTTTTGGTTGGTTTTTTGGGGGGGGTTTTGTATGGGAAGGGGGGAAGGGGTGTATAGGGGAGAGGGTGTTTTTATAGGGGGATGGGGTTTTTTGGGTTAAAAGGGGGGGGGAAGGGGTTTGTGTTAGAGGGGGAAAAAGGGGGTTTTTATAAAGGGAGGGGGGTTTGTATAAAAGGGGAGGGGGGGGTTGTTTTTTTGGATAAGAGGGAAAAGGGGGAGGGTGGTTTTTAGAGGGGGGGGTTTTGTGTATGAGGGAGGAGGGGGTTTTGTTATGGGGGAAAAGGGTGTGTTAGAGGGGAGGGGTTTTTTGGTTGAGGAGAGGGGTGGGTCTAGGGGGAGAGGGTGTGGTAGGGGTTTTTTTTTTGGGGGGGGGGTTTTGTTTGGGGGGGGTGTTTGGGGAAGGGAAAGAGGGGGGGTTCTTTAAGGGAGAAGGGGGGTTATAAAGGGAGAGGGTTTTTGGTTTTTAAAGGGAGGGGGGTTTTTTTTTTGTGATAAAAGGGGAAGGGTTTTGTATAGAGGGAGGGGGTTTGGGGGGGGAAGAGGGGGTTTTTGTCTATAAAGGGAGGGGGTTAAAAAGGGGGAGATTTTTGGGGATGGGAGGGAAAAGGGGGGGGAAGAGGGGGTGTATAGTTTGGGTGTGTGTAGAGATAAAAAAGGGTGGTGTTTAGGGGGAAAGAGGGGTGTCTAGAGGGAGGGGTGGGGTGTAGAGGGAGAGGGTGTGTATAGAGGGGGGTGTGTATAGAGGGGAGGGTGTGTCTAGAGGGAGAGGGTGTGTTTTAGAGGGGGGGGGTTGGTATGGGGGGGTTTTATAGGGGAAATGGGGAGGGGGGTTTGTCTTTAAAGGGAGGGGGGTTTTTTTTGTCAAAAAGGGAAAGGAGGTGTTTTGTATAGAGGGGGGAGGGTTTTTCTATAAAGGGAGAGGGTGTGTATAGAGGGAGAGGGGTTTTTTTAAAAGGGAGGGGGGTTTTTGTTATAAAGGGAGGGGTTGTTTTTATAGAGGGGGGAGGGAGGGGGGGGGGAGGGGGGTGATAGATGGTTTTGTGTGTAGAGATAAAAAAAGGGTTTGTCTAGGGGGAAAGGGGGTTGTGTCGGGAGGGAGAGGGTTGTGTGTAGAGGGGAGGGTGTTGATGGGAGGGTGTTTTTATAGGGGGAGAGGGGGGAAGAGGGGTTTTATAGGGGGAGGGGTTAAGGGGGGGTGTATAGAGGGTGTGTATAGAGGGAGAGGGTGTGTTTTTAGGGGGGTTTTGTTAAGGGGGGAGGGTGTGTATAGGGGGAGTTTTATAGAGGGGGAGGGTTTTTGGGGTAAGAGCGAGGGGATAGGGGGGGGGGGAGGGGGGGGGGATAAGGGTGGTAAGAGGAAGTTTTTATAGAGGGGTTTTTATAGGGGGAGGGGGGGTGGTTTTAAGGGAGGGGGGGGTGTAAGGGGGTTTTTGTATAGAGGGTGGGGTAAGGGGGAAAGAGGGGGGATAGAGGGGTGTATAGATGGAGGGGGTTTTGGGTTTTTAAAAGATGGAGAGGGGTGTGTTTAGGGGGAAGGGGGTGGGATAGAGGGGGGGGGTTGTGTATAGAAGGGGGTTGATAGAGGGAGAGGGTGTGTATAGGGGTTTGAGGGTGTGTTTATAGAGGGAGGGGGGGGTGTTTTTAAGGGGAAGTTTTATAGGGGGTTGTGTATTAGGGGGAAAGAGGGTTTTGTTTTAAGGGGAAAGGAGGGTTTTTTATAGGGGGGAAGGGGGTTTGGTATGAGGGTGTGTTAAAAAGGGGGGAGGTAGTTTTTAAAAGGAGGGAGTGTATGGGGGAAAGAGGGGGGTTTTTGTTATAGAGGGGGTTTTATAGGGGAGGGGGGTTTTGTGTATGAGGGAGGGGAAAAAAGGGGTGTCTATAAGGGAGAGGGGTGGTATGAAGGTGTGTATGGAGGG